GTTTAAAGCACATAAAATCATATTAAAATATATACATTTACAAGTATGTACTGTATTTACAGTACATGCATTCGTAAATTTAGATTACTTTTTTCTGTACTATATTAAAAACTAAAATTTATTTGTTTGTAAGCTTAAAATAGATTTTTATTAACCATATATTATTAAAAATGCATTAATAAATAAAATACAGAACCGGGAATGGTAATTTATAATTTAGCCTAGTGACAAGTAGATTCGGAGACAAGTAAATTTGACTTACGTCGCTTTCCTGGAACCAATTACCGACGTAAGGCGAGGTATACCTGTAGTAATAATACAAAAGTAAACAGAAAGCTTTTATAGCATAAGAAAATTTCTAAATATTTTAGTGTTCAGCCAGATGACATTGGTGCTCACATAAATGTTGGGAGAACTTACAATAATTTGAAAATGTATACAGAAGCAGAACAAGCATTTTGGAAAGTATGTGATTTTTATACTTTACTTTAAGTACCCAAATGTTAAGATTATTATTTTAAAAAATAATTGAGCCAGATTTAATGTTAAATAATATCATAATTAGATATGCTTACAATGCACACAAATGTTTTGAGTAAAATAAAAATTTCTAAAATTTATACAAATCATGTAAATAATTTTTGAAATTTATTTACTTACTCTCTTGGAAAAATACTTTAAAATTATTTTAAAATATTTAAATGTTAAATGTTGTTGTTGTCCTACCTATGAATGCAAATTAGTTTGTCTTAAATATGTGGACTTAAAACTTTTAATGTATAATATTTTATTGCTGAGTATATAATCAATTGATTATAAGTATTAACTGTTATTTTACAGATAAAACTTTTATAGGAAACTATGAAAGATAAAAGTTACTGTATATAATAACAATTTTACACTTATTTAATAATTTTTATATACAACAATAACTGTGATATATAACATGTCTTCAAACATTCAGAAATGTTTAAATAATATCAAAAAGTTAGAAATTTATTGAACAAGAAATGGTTTTTGGAACTAACCTATTTTATCTTCAAGTATTAAGAACAAAGAACATAGAATAAACTACAATCAAAATTTAAATTGTAGCATGCTCTCAATGGAATCCAATGACTTTTTAATCAATTGTACAAATGTTCATTGAAATAATTAAAAATAACAATGCAAACACTAATGAATGTGTTGAACTATTTGAGATACCTTTCTCATAATTGGCATATGATTGTATCCATATCTGTAAAAGTAGTGACAGATATATCTATCTAATTAACTAATTGGACTGGTTATAACAATTAACAAGATCATTCACTGTTATAAATAGTTCTCTTATTCTAAATAATATCACATATGAATCTGTTCTCATTACTAAGGTTTCTTTCTACTAAGGGCCAGTTACATGATTTTTAATCTAATGGTTAAATTTGCTTTAATCTTCATAATTACTCTGATGTGTTGTACAAGTGTAAATCTTTGGGAAAAACTGTCAAGTAAATTAACTGCCAATTTTGGTTGGTTAAAATTTATTTTCTAGATTTGCAAAGAATCAAGATGGCTAACTAGTTCTGATTCTGATGTGGATAAATTTTTTAAAAAATATTTAAAGGAAGTTTCTTTAAAATATTCCATCTATATTAGGATAAAGATTAGATCATAGAATATTGTGTAATGATTATAAGTTTTGAGAATTGATTTTGATTTAAAAAGCTACAGTTTTTTATTGTCTGAGTTAAGTCACTCTTTATAATGTGAAATTATTAATTACTAGCTTCATGAATTTACTTGGACTTTGGAGGGGATGGGGATTGGTGAAGTTGGATTGAGAGACTGATAAAAACAATGACCTTGGTAACTAAAATGTACATTTATTGACCTGAATATTTACAATAATGAAACTCCAAAACACAAAAAATTGCTAGGGGTAAAGTTAACAGGCTTTGGGGATTGTGAGATTGAGATCCCACAGTATTTTTACTTTTCCAGCTGTTACATATAAGAGAGAGAAAGTATGGCAATTAGTGAAAAATGACCCCTCCCAGATTTTTACATTTTTAGACTCTGAATCTTGAAATGTTGAGAAATACAAAAAAAATTTGTAATTTCTGTATGTATGGATGTTAGTGTATGTTTATGGGGCACAATTTTGTTTACCCTCTTTAAAGCTTAATAACTGTGCTTTTTATCAAAAGTTTTGAAATTCTGCAGAGAGGTTTGTTTATTAGGGGATTGATGCTATTAAATTTTGGTGAGTAAAGATCAAGGGGTGGGGAGATAGATGGGTCATGTGTATCTCCAATAGGGTCTGATTTAATGACAATTTTACTCATTATTAGCATTTACAATTTTTTATAAAACCCATCCCTATCCTCAAAATTAAGCTATTTGTCATTTTGTAATAGTTAAAAATATAGTTTTTTAAACAAAATATCATAACAGATGTCATCACCAAATGTTGCCAGGAAAGTTAAACAACTCATTGCTGGATTTTTATAGGGTGTTAAAGAATATTTATGCCAAATTTGGTGCAGATATGTTGAATGGTATGGAACTATTTGCCTATTTTGATTGGGAAAAGGCCACATAAAACATATCATGACTGAAAACTTTACTGAGCATAGCATCGGTCATTGAGTTTTGTTCATTGTCATGGCAAATGCCTGGATGATTGGAAATTGAAATTGTTTAATTGTAAAAGGAAAAGTGCTATCACTTGGAGTTAATGGTATTTAAGGAAGCATATGAATTGTTCTGCAGTGTTTATCTGTTAGGATCTCAACATTAATTGTGTTGTTAAGTGTACCACATATAACTAATTAACCAACCCTTTTTGGGGTTTCCATTAACCAACCCTTTTTTGGGGTTGAGGTTCCTGATAAGCATAACTACAGCACCAATCTTTAATATGTGATGGAAGTCCAACCAGCCCTGAAACTCACCTCTCTCAACTTGTTATGTATGTATGTATGTTAGGTAAAAAGTTCTGTACCATTCAAACAGTTCTCCACCTCCAAACACTCATAAAACCTCCTGTTAACTTTATCCTGAGAAGTTTTTCTGTTTTTTTTTTTTTTTTTAGTTTCATTATTGTAAATACTCAGGTTAGTAAATTTACATCTTAGTTACTAAGACCATTGTTTCTATCACTTTCTCCCAACCCAACCGCACTAATTCCAACCCCTCAAAAGCCCAAGCAACATCAGGCACTTCAACTAGTTTCTTCTTTGCATTTCTTAAATTGCAAGTTTATTCAAGATAAAGTTCCTTCTCATTAACTTGTTTATAATGGTCAACAATGTTTGGCAAATAAACCATGTTAAATGTATGAAAAAATAAATTTGATACTTAATTTTATTTTATTTAAATTAATAATGTTAAATAATAATGCAAAAAGTCAAATATTAGAAAAAATAGCAGGAACAGTTAAAAAAAAGAAGTAAATCGCTACGTGGCATGTGAGCACTCAACATGCTTATCCCACAGACTTAATTAACATTGTACACTTGCCACTCTACCATACCAGAACCATTGCACTTTTCTCAAGTTTCTCTTCAGTGGCATCATCTACAGGACAACAGCTTTAATTTGATACTTAAAATATATTTTTAGTCTCAGGCCATTTATTCAAACTGAAACCCTCTTTCAATTAATATACAGATTTTAAAGTACTTATACAGTCAAACACATCTATAATGGAACCTGTATATTGTGAAACCCTGTCATTAACAGAAAATTTTCTTTGGTCTCTTGAATATTTTGCAAAAAGTAATATAAATTAACCTGTTTCCAACAATAATCCAACACAGAAATAGAAAGAAACATTGGGTGGTATAACAGAAAAATTGGTATCTTAATCCAATTTAACATGAATTTAAGAAAAAGTTTACAAGCCTAGCATGTATAAATCACAAAAAAAGTAAAAAAAATACACACATACAATACAGAATAGCAAAATATGACTATTGTATTACATTAATTTTTATTGGAATTTGAACAGAAAGTTTTTGCATATTTTTATTAACAGCTGTTTTTTACTTAACATGTAATTATAAATTATAAAATTTAACACATTATTTCTGATGTGAGATTGCATTCTTTGTTTTGAAGCTTATTTTAAACTTTTTACATCACATTTTGTTTGAATAAAATCAAGTCAAAATGTCTGCAGATAAAATGCGCATTGAGCATATTATGCATGTTTTATAAGTTTCATAAAGGATATCACACTATATAAACAGTAAAAAATACTCATCCTGTATGCTTCTTCACTTCAAATGTGTCAAACGTGGTTTTAGAAGTTTTGTTCAGGAAATTTTGAACTAAAGGATGGGCCCCCAAAAGTTGTTGAAGAGAAATTGTGGGAAGAAATTGTCAAGGCCCAATAGAACCACTGGTTGGCCAAGTGGTTCTGTTCCCTGAACACTGGGAGTTCGATGGTGGGTTCGGATGGGCTGGCCACTTTCTGGGTTTTCTCCAAATCTGAAACACCCGAATAGAGGCCAATTACCCTTAAAAGACCTCCCGATTAGTCCACATGTAATGGCCGTCATAAACATACACAACTACTGTTACATGACAAATACATCACACTTTACCATGCGCCAATATAGCCTAGAAGCTGATATAAGACCACAAGCTACAAGAAATTGTTAAAGATTGACAAAGAGCAACTCATGAATTTGTAACAAATTTTAGTGTGTCAAGGCACGTATCGTTGAAACATTACAGCCACTTGAAATGGTTGTAAAACATGTTGTTTTTGCTTATGAAAAAAATGAATTGAGTATAATTTTGTCAGATGAAGGTAGGCATTTTATTTTATTTTAAATTGGTTACTCATTTTTATCTTAGAGAACTTTTTATGGATGAATGAAAAAATTGAAGTTAAAATAAAAATATTTGTTATTAACTGAAAATTTGTTCTAGTGGGTGTGATTGTTCAGTTGAGGACCAAGGTACCACTATATTTGATTAATGCAATTTTGATATATGTGGTACACATCAAAAAATTTATTAATTGCATTAATCAAGGGATACCTATAGGAGGTAACCTGTATATAGTGGAAACCTGTCTACTATGGAAGAGTTGTTTGGTCCCTTGAGTTCTGTTATAGACAGGTTTGACTGTACAAAGTATTGTAGATAGAATCCACAATATATATATATATATATATATATTGTATATACAGCTCTCCCTTGATAGTCTGACGTTTTGTAATCTGACATGCTCAGTAGTCCGACACACCTCCTGTCAAGGTACTCGTCCCCATTACATGTCTGCTTGCACAGAAGCATGTCGTGATGTGAATCTCCCCACCCAATTCTTACACGATGACACACATTTCGTGTGTTTTTTGTGAGCAGTTCTGTTCGAACAGTTGGAGTAGGGAATATTGTAGGCTACTGCTAGCAAAACAATACCAAATATGTAATCACTTTTGGTAATCTGACACCCCTTTGGTCCC